AAGAGCCATGGTGAACCATGATGGTCCATGAGTCCTTGAAGCAAAGAGTGCCATGGTCTTTTCAAATTTGTGTCTCTTGGAAAAAATCATGATGTAGTTTGAGAAAAGGACCTTGAAGCCATCTTTGTCATCATCCGGGGTCAGTTTTCGCAGCCTTGTAGCTTCAATAATTCTATCCGCTATCTCCGGATCTTGTTCAACAACGGTGTCAGCAGTTGATAGTGAGGGTTCAAACATGGCATTAAGCCATAATTGGAGTAACCAGAAGGGGCCAGCTAGAAGGATGTTTTTGGGAGTATGGGATTTCAAACTCGAAATGGCTGATCTTAAGCTTTCGTAAAGATCAACAAGTAACAGTTCACTCAAACATACCCTCATATTCTCATGTAAGTATCTAGCTAGAGGGATGAACTGCTTGCTACCTGTAAGGACCTGCTGCAGAATACGTATCTCGATAACCATAAAGTGAGGAAAGCAATATGTTCCACATCTGACACACTATCTCCTTCAGTGTGGTAATGGCTAATGAATTTGGAAAAACTGGCTAATTTGACTTCGAAGTCAATAATGTTGGAGTGTTCTTCGTTATCAGGGATGTAGGTTTCTCCTACTGGTGACAAACCAGTGATGGCTGCTATATCGAAAAGTGTGGGTGTTATCATTCCCCCAGGGAGATGAAAGGTGTTGTAGGTGTTGTCCCAAAAATATAAGGACGCAAATAACAATGGATGACTATAGGTGAAGCCTGGTTTCGATAACTTAATCAAATTATAGATTCCTAATTCCTCCCATTGCTGGGATTTCTTGGCTTCTACTTTGGTAAGCCAGTTTTGGTAAGCTATGTCAGAGGTAGGGCAGGATCGGAATGGTTTAAAGTTGCTCTTTACATAGTCTAACACAAAGGGATCTTTTGAGGGAACGGTTGGAGTTTCTATGGTTGTCGAATCAGAAGACTCGCCTATATTAGGGATATCCATCTTATTAAACAAGGGTTTAAAGTTGTAACAGACAGGGAAGATTTTTCTAGTATCTTTTAAGATTTCAAAGACTGTAAGAGGACCCATTAGAGCAAACCTCTTTCCAGCAGCGTTAGTTGGAATCAATACCTGAGAGGCGTAGAGCATTTCCTTTTCTTTGGAGATCATTTGGGGGATAAGCACAGATTGACCTTGATAAGTACCAACCTTGCTTTCCATTATTGTTCTTGTGTTCTTGCCTTTCTTTTTGGAAGTTTTATTCAGTTGGGATGATGTTGTAGAAGACATTGTTGAAGATTGTTGGAAGTTTTAGGGTTTCGGTGAGAAGAGAGGAAGAAAAGTTTCAGAATATGGAAAAGAATAAAAGACTAAGTTGATTGGTTTTTATAGTGTGGAAGTTTAAACATCCACTAAGTGAGACTAGGATACGTGGGAGTCGTGGGTTGGATTGAGAAGGAGGTGGCGTAAAGGCTGATATTGGTAATAAGTGTGGTTAATAATAATCATTGTTTTATAACTGCACCATGCTGTGAAATACTGATTCAAGACGGTTAAGAAATCCAAGAGGCGTCGTGATTGACGTGATTGGAGTCATACACAATAAATGTTACGATTATTCAAAGGTCACATCAAAATCTTGCAAATATATTTAAAATAAGTGTTTCTCAAACGATCGAAATACATATTTTAAAGGGGCATTTTGTTGGCTGAAGATTTTGATGACACAGTTCGAAATGAAGCAATATGGATGTTTCGTTGGAATAAAGCAGAATGTTACAGTTCGGAATGGTAGAAGCGGTTCTTCGAGCGGGCATGTCTAAGCACGGAGCTTCGAGTGACAGTTGAAGATATATTTAGAAGAGGCCTCAAAGTGATATCGAGACTGTGTCTGTGAAATGAGTTCGAAGCGAAGATTGCCAAAGCATTTGAAATTCAAACGCGAGCGGGATGTTGGAATTTAAATATATATGCGCTGGAGCATTCGAAGACGCGTGGAAGCTAGAGAGGAGCATTGCTCTGCATGTTCTGAACGTGGCAGAATCTTATAGGCAAGACCTTTATGGTCGAAGTAGTATAAATAGAAGTCATAGCATTAGGATTTCGTGTGTCATATCTATTGTACAAAATTCAGTAAACATTCAAAATACCACATGGCTAGGGAAACGAATGCTCGAACACCATACGTATGATAACACCAAACATTTATAATTCAGTAAAACTCTTTATCCTTTCCAGTTTATCTTCTATCTTCATGTCAATGTCATTCAAATACTTTTACATTCAAAGTCATTTACTTATTTCTTGCATTTAAACAATTTCCTTCTATTTCGAATCCTTTACATTTCAGAACTCTTTTATATTTCATGCTTTTACATTAAAGTCTTTACATCCAAAGTCATTTACTGATTTCTTGCATTTAAACGCTTTTCTTCTATTTCGAATCCTTTACATTTCAGAAACTCTTTTACATTTCATGCTTTTATATTCATGCTCTTTATATTAAAGTCTTTACATTCAAAGTTATTTACTTATTTCTTGCATTTTAACATTTCTTTGCAATCAAATCTTTATTCATGCAATTCAGTTTCGTATGTCTTTACTTGATCATGTCATTAGATCCTTTTAATACGATAATCAAAGTGAGTTGAACGTCTATAAAACATTCCAAATACAAATCCTAACTATGAATATCAGTTTTAAAATTAGAGTTATCCAAACGACCAATACCCCATAGGATCAATCTAGTCGATCCTGCAAGTTACCAGAGAGATTAAATAACAGTCATTAAGATTATTTGATAGTTTGGAGGACTAGCGGTTGTTTACCAGAAATCACTGTAAACAGAGAGCAGGTAGCAGATGGGAAGATGAATTTGGAACACTGTAGAGCTGAGAATCAGATTGCAGACATCACGACAAAGGGAGTGCAAGTCGAAGTATTCAGAAAGCTAAGAGCCATGATGAACATAGACAGTTTAGACACAATGAATTAGGTGGTGTGTTAAATTGTAATTCATAGTGTCAAAGAAGATTTGATTTATTTTAGATTTAAATATATTTGATTTAAGTCCAGAATAGATTTGATTTGATTTGATTTAGTAACAAAAAGATATTTTGGGCTTTGGGCTTAGGGTGTAAGCTCAATTATAAATAGAGGGAGTAACCCCTATTTTTGTAAGCAAGTCAAGCAACTCATTCACAGTATTTTGCAGTTACAAAGTGAATAAGAAAGCTTTCACAGTTTGTGAGCCGAGAGAAACTCTGCAGAAATTATTTGTCTTGTCTTCTTTTCTTTGTTTGTCTCATAATTAAATTGTCATTGTGGTAGAAATTCATCATAGACTTTGGTGGATTTCCAACATCTTCAAAAACAAACATCTTTTCAAACACACTAAACACTTTCAAAACATGAAATATTTTTTAAAGTCCAACAATTTGTATGCATTCTTATAGAGATGAGAGTCATTACAAAATTTGCCTAAACGAAGGCGTTTTTCAAAAATACTTTCAAAACCCACCACAAACACATTTTAAACAAAGCAATTTCAAAAGAGATCTAGCAAGCAACTAAGAGCCCATAAATAACTATCGATGAAAAGAGTGTTACCACTTTCCCTTTTCATAACTTACCATCCGAACTCAAGAAAACATCTCAAAGATATTTCCTATTCTTTTCACCATTTCCTTATTGGATAAAAGAAAAATCGATAGTGACTCTTGCTATCCGCAATAATTGCGATCAAACTCAAAACACACAAGTCAATTCTCCCACCGTATTACAAGGTGGAATAATTTAATTAGTATATATTAGTTGAGTTAAATAATTATAAACAATTTATCTATATTTAATCCTTAACTTCATCATATATTTATATCTACGAATTTATTTATCACTGTAAGTAAATTATTGATATTTATAAAATAATAATATTTAAAAAATATTTTAATTTAATAAAATAAAATATATTTATCAATAGAGTGAGAGGAGATTATTCAAAAATAGTCATTAAGTGATCCATTCACAATCATTAAATTAAAATAAAATCAAAAATTAAAAATTAAAAGAGAATGTAGTTATTGATATAAATTTATTTGATACCTCATTTTTCTCTATAGTCATACAAATCATTATAAAAAATAAATATTTTAAAATACTACTATTAGAAATTTTTAAGCTTTTAAATAATCATTTAGTCAAATCAATATCAAACGATTGAATTTAAATAGTTAAGAAACAAAACACAAAAATAAAATATTAAAAAGAGTCCAAACTAAAATCTGAAATAAAATATTTTTTATCAAGTTTCAATTAACTTTAAGTCCCAATATTAATTTAATGCCAGATAAATCATGCGTTAGAAATGGTAGAAGAATATTTGGTATCATAATATAGTTAGAAAAACACAAAAACAAAATTTACAGAACATTATAATTGAAAATTAGCCAAAAAAAAAAAAAAAAAACAGCTTCGGAAATGGTTTGATAAACAATGAGGCAACAACTATAAACGCACTGGCCTCTTCTTGTCCTTTTCTTTCTCCAACCGCCGACGCTTCTCTCTCTTCTTTCTCTCCCCTCTCCATCATTCTTCTTCCACTTTTCACTCCTCTGTAAACATCCACACGACCCTTACCATACACCCTCAAATCAAAACCAAACACGTCACATCTGAACTCTCATCTTATCAAAACCAAATATTTTTATGATTCGAGTATTTTAGATAGTGTGAGTATTACTACAGCGTATCAAAACCAACCGAAAAAGGTGAAGTGGTTCCATAAGAGAGAAGGTCCGCTTAAACGTCTTTCTCTGAAGGTTTCTTTCTCTCTCTTCATTCTTGTTTCGCTAGAGAGAGAAAAGAGAGAAGAGAGAGAAGAACCTAACTAACTACTCCCGTTCTTTTTCACGTGTTGTTATAGCTTCGTTTCCGAGTTTCTTTCCCTCTTGGAACGATTTGGAGTTTCATTTCTTATTCTTTCTCCGTTTTAGGTTTTCTCGGTTTCGTTTTTGTGTGGTTTTGAAGATGTTGGTAGCTAATAGTTTCGATCTATGGCGGAAGGATACTTTCTTCTCTGCAGCGGAGGAGGTGCAGGAATCAGCTGATATGTACGTTTTCCAATTCCTCTTTTCGTTTTACGGTGATTTCAAATTGATTTTGATTGATTTAATTTTTCGAATTTCGTTTAATTGTGGATCGATTCTGGTGTATTTGCATCATTTGTTATTGTACTGTGTTTTTTTTGTTGAAGAAGCTACAGCATTTTTTAACACTGATGGTAGTGATTTTAGGTTTGAACTTCGAGTTCATAAACTTTGTTCCTAATTTTTTTAATTTGTGATAGTTTTTTCTATGCAGATGGTTTCTTATGATATTTAAATTATAGTTATCTCTTATTTCAAAGCTGTAAAGATTTTCGCAATTACACTTGGTACAGTTGTTGTGTGTTGCAACACTGAATCCGGTCTTTATCATAAAAACTGTGAATATTGGGTATCGGTACATTCTGATAATACCGTTAAGTCGCAGCCATTTAAAATCTTGAAACTAATGCTAAGTTTATACTCCCTCCTATTCAAAATGAGTGTCTTTGCACACGGATTAAGGAATGTAATAATATTTTTATAAAACATTGTATTTTTACTAAATTAGCCCTATTAATGTGTCGAAAGTAGTGCACACGCTAATAATTTAAGGGCATAATTGGAAAAATAGCAATCATTGCTACATTGAAAAGTGAGAATCACATTTTTTTTAAACAATTTTTTCTCCCTAAAACGACACTCATTTTGATACGGAGGGAGTACTTTTGAAGATCTCAGATGAAGAGTAATCATGTTGCTTGGTGATTGTCTGTTTAGGAGGTAGAATGATCACGCCTTTGGTGCCGGCGGTTCATACTTCAAGGGTTACTGTCTTACAATAATTTTATTTGTTTATTTATCCAGAATGGAATCAGCATATAGAGCATGGTTAAGAGAGAGGAGAGAAAGGTCGAATACTGCGGATTTAAATGAATTATGCAGGGAGCTTCAAACTGCTTTAGGTACGGCTAAATGGCAGGTATGTTAATATACTCCTTTATATAATTTTTGTGTAGCACCGACTCTTCTGAAAAAAGGTGTGTTCTTGTCAGTTTCCGTGTCCGAAATTGACATCGTCATTTGTTGTGATTATGTTTAATTAATTAATTTTTTTAAATTATTACCGGTATTGACATGTTGGTGTCGTGTTTCCGATATCCGTGTTAGCTTGTATAATTTTGACTTTTTACTCTAATGTTTTTATGTTTTATTATTGTAGATTCTTAGTTAAGCCACCTCTTTCCGTTTTGTTTGTCAATTAATCACTAAGCAGAGTGTTCCTCTTCGAATATTCATTAGGAAACAGCCTCTCTGTTATAAGTTATAAAAAACAGGGGGTAAGGCTGCGTACATCCGACCCCCCAGAGCCCATAAAATGAGAGTCTCGTGCACTGAGTTACCCTTTTTTATTTGCTTATTTGTTTTTTTTGTTGATTTTTGGTTTTGAATATTGTGAAATAGTTGGAAGAATTTGAGAAAGCTGTCAGGCTAAGCTACCGACATCTTGGTGATGACAATAGAGCCACTAGGCACAGGCAGTTTATTTCTGCCATGGAAAGTCAAATTTCCCAGGTTGAAGTAACTCTGAGGGAGTTTTATATTGAGGAAGGTAAACAACCCCTTCGGTGGGTAAATCTTGGTGAAGAAGAGCGAGACGATTTTGCCGCGTTTTTATCTGGAACCTGTGAGGCGTTCCAAAGCAGTAAAGATGAATGCATGGATATTTCTCCTTCAACAAAAATCTCACTTGTGCAGAAACAAGTCAACAAAGAAGATAAAATTGTAAATGCTAATGTAAATGCTTTTTGCAGCTGGGATAGTTCTACAAATGAAAAGGCGTCTATGGATGTTATTGCTTTTAACAAGGGAAGAGATTATGCAATAGAAATAAAAGCAGGTGACATTTCTAGAAATAGCGATGATGTAGTTTCTCAAACAGATATAACTAGTACAAAGAAGACATGGAGTCCTCCACCAAATTATGCTGCTTTAAGAATTGTAATTGCTGATGAAGATGAGCAGAGGAATGAACTCACACGGACCATTGATGCCAACCCTAAAGATAAAGGAATAAAACCTCTCTTTTGGAAACAGAAATTTGAAGAATATCCTCAGGCCATGCGAGCAGTTCATATGTTCAATCAGGTTAGATCTATGAACAATTTTTAGAAAGAGACATGTAAAAGAAGTTAGGAATTTTTTTCTCCGACTTTGCCTCGTCTACCAATCACATCATTTATGAAATGTGTATTTACAAGGAAATGCTTATGGATTTCTGTACTCTGCAGCTTTTTGGTCGCATTGGTTTATGCCAAAGAAAGCTTCAAAGTCCCTTGCGTTTGCGACGCGGCCATTCTCTTAAAGTTACACTTGCTCTAATGATTATCATTTTTCTCCTTGGTAAGCTTTCAGTTTCCTATTCCTCGTGTATCAATTTGCGCTTATTTTTGCTTTATTCTCGTGTTCTTACAGCCTTATTGGCATTATTATGATATCTGTAGCATTACTATTAAGAAGGGGCCTTTTATGGAAAGCTTCATTCTCATTATTAAATTTTTTACAACATTATTTTTCTGTATGCATGATTAATCATAAGCGTACTGGCAAAAAAGAACACAATGAGAGTGTTCGAAAAGAAAGCATGTCATTGTCTAGAGAAATATTAAAGCAATTAGCTTTGGTATCAAAATGATGGTCCTTATTGTTTTGAAAACAATCAATCATGCAATGTAAGGCACCCTCTTGTGCGGTTTCCTAGTGGATTGACCATGCCAACAATTTAAGTACATAATGCCATCAATATCATCTGTAACCTGTTCAGGTTTTATTTGCAAGATTGAGGGAATTTTTTAGCAAGCTGGGCTTCTATGCTTTTATCTTGTTGCATGCTACCAATCATGTTTTGCCAATAGATTAATCATTTTAGTCTTCTCAGCTGTTTCAGACTTCTTTTATTACGCTTCTGTTTTCTTTATTTCTGTATTAAGCATTGCTGATTATGAATATTTTCTTTCCCTTCTCTGCAGTTCCCTTTGTATTTTATTCAACATGAGGCTAAACTGCTTCTTTACTCAATCTGTTTCAAGAGGTAGTATTTCCAAAACCCTATCTTTTTGTATTTTTATAATGAATAAAACAACAATAATCTAAAAAAATATGGGCATGTATGTTTATGGTGTAAGCTAACATCCAAATATTTCTTTTTTCCTCGAAACATAGTTGGAAACAATGAAAGATTCTTTTTCCTTTTTCCTCAGATGGATTGTTGTTGACTGTTGTAGTTTTGTTTACCAGCAAAATAGTTTATGCACGTTTCCTTCATCTGCTGCCCAAGCATAGCTGAGATTCAAGGCCAAATCTTGACTTTTACGGCTATAAGATAGGGACACCACAAATAATTTATAGCTGCTAGCATTGTTTGTGTTTGAAGATTATTGAAAATCTTATTATATATCTTCTCTTAGGACCTCGTAAAGATTTGGAGTTTTATATATCTATGTATGAGTATTCAATAAGCAAAGTTAAAAGGTACTGGGTGTTTGAAAACTTGAATATGTACTGATTGAAAAAAGTTCAGGTCCTAGAAAAGAATCAATTCATTGAAACAAAAATATGTTATCGTATGATATTTGACAGTTTTTGAAAATGATTTTGTATAGAATTATAAAATAGTATTTATTATTACTGGATTTTTAATTTTCAGAATACTATAACAATATAAAATATATTTGGAAAATTTATGTAAGTCCTCTAAAACCCTTCTTCAATATAAATTTTGAGTTTTTCAAATTAGAGTGTTTTTGGTGTTATGAAGAAATACAAACCCTCTCCGTCAAAATCTTCCTATTCTTTTCATCCAATCCTTCCTATTTTTCAAAGCTCTCCCCTCCATTTCCCTCCAAACTCTCGAATAAAGCTTAAAGTATAAAGCTTAAAGTATTGTAACAAATGGATGTTGTGGTTTTGCAGGTATTGATGGTGATGGATAAAAAGGTCACCAGGTGTTTCAGATGCTTTGCTGTGCAGGAAAAGGGGCCAGTGAAGGGCAACCAACCAATCAGTGTCATCTTATTGTATTCAGTGGTTGTTATTATTAGAAGATTAAGATGCATTTACTCATACATGTGTAGTGTGTGGAAGCCGAAATGATAAACCATTATCAACCTCCTTTATACAAGGATAGGAATAGGATAGGTATCTTTTAAGTGTATATACATTCATCAATAATGTTTTATTTAATATAACCTCCACTATGCTATAAGTATTTGGTTGCAAGGCATTGAAAGTTGTTCATGTGACAAGATTCGGTGGGTAAAGGCGTATACTTTTTTATTTTTAAGTGGACTGCTGCACTTTAAATGGTTGTAATGATATCTCTTTTCTTTCTTCACCTTGGCCCTCCCTAACTGCTGCCATGAATTTAATCTCCTTCATTAAACAAAACCTTCTTACTCCCACTTCAGCATTTCAGGAACTTTTGCTTGAAGGAAAAGTGAAGAAAATTATATTTGAGGATAAAGGATGAATTTAATTAACCACACGAGCCATAATATGATGAAACAGAAAAGCTTCTGTCAACCAATTAGAGACGTGTAATCAATTAAGTTACAATTTTAAAAGTGTCATTGTGAGGTGTTACGAAATGTTAGATTAATTGATTAGTATTGTTGAGTATTCTATCCATTTTAAAATGATTGTCATTTAATGTTTTTACACATGAATTAAGAAAAATAATAATGTTGTTAGAGACATTATATTTTTACAAAATTAATTCTATTAATATATTGAAAATAGTGTAAATAGTAAAAATTAATCATATTATTATATTGAAAATAGTGAAAATTAATCCTATTATCATTTTCATATTTTTAATTTTTATAAAATTATAACAGAAAATTAAAGATTTTTATGTTATGAAAAACAAACCCTTCAAAATGTTTTTAATTAAAATCTTTCTCTTTTTTCAAAAGCTTTCATTTTCTTCTAAACACCCAAACGACAATGCATATACACGGTGAATTCAGTCTAATCATTCTTAAATAAATCTTTTTTTTCTTTAATTGTACAATTTATTTATAAAATAACCTATTATTGTTAAAATTGGCACATCAATTAAATACAAGATCACTTTATTTTATTACAAGTGATTAGATCAAACATTAAACTCATGTTATAAATAAATTATTGAGATAAGATTGTTTATCAAACACCTGTCGTTTTTTTTCTTCTATATTGAAAATGCTTATATTAACAAATTAACAACAACTAATTCCTGTAAAAATCACATCAATCAACTATCTTGTCATTAAAAGAGAAATCCACCATTCATCCAAAAATGTCCTTCTTTTTCAAATAATTTATTAAATGTTGGAAAAATGCATTTCAAATGGTGTTTACAATATCTATTTCTACAAAGGTTTTTTATAAATGCTTTAATAAGGTTGTTTACAAATACATTTATAAGGGTATATTGTGTTATCAGTTGGAGTGGGTTTATTTCATACATAGCTACTTAAGATTTTCTCTTATTACATTGTATATTCCTAACATACTTTTTTTTTTCTTACAGGTTCTTTTTATTTTCTAATTGTGTATCATGAAGTTGTGGCCTTTTGGACAGTATCTTTTGTTTTTCATTTTTACAGTATTTTGTATACACTACCGAGGCCAAGGAAAAGTTACAGTTTTCAGTATAAATGCAATTGTTGAACAGTTACGGAGAGTAGCCAGTTTGAGGTTTGTGCAGTAATTACACATTGATTGCCTATTTGATAGAGTGTTGTTTTAATAAGGGAGAAAAGTTACTCTTTGATCCGTTACAAGAAAATGACTACAAATACATTTTTATACTTCTAACTGAACACAGACTCTATTTGACTCTCTCTGATTATTTGCCATTGAAATTTTGCTTGGACTATGCCTACGACATAAGTATGTTAGTTTTTTTGTTCCTTGATGGCAGCCATGGGTGTCATTAACAATCATTACAATTATAAAGTTTGATCACACAGACTTGATTGTATGCCGATTGGTTGATATCAGAAACTAATATTTGTTAATGCGTGAAACACTTTTAGTGAGGAGAGAAAAAGAGAATAATAAAGAAAATAAGAATTTGTATTATTCAAGTGTACAAATAATGATACACACTATCATTATTTATATACAACCCTAATTGGACTTGGGCTAACACAACTTGAATTATATTAAATATTAAATCTAATCTAATCAAATCTAATCTAATTTAATATTTCAACACACTCTCATAATCCAAGTTGTCGGACATCCTCAAAAATAGTCAATCTGAACTATTCCTAATTTCTTTTTCAAATTCAGGAATCTGTCGATCTTCAATCCTTTGGTGAAAATGTCGACCAACTGTGCTTCACTTGAGTAATGTCTAACTTCAAGTTCACCTTGATTTACTTTTTCCCTCAAGAAGTGAAACCTTGCTTCAATATGTTTACTTCTTCCATGCAGGACTGAATTATTCGCCAGATTTATGGCTGACTTGTTGTCGATTTGCAATACTAGAAGTTTCTTCACTTCGACGGTCATTTCTTCAAGTACAAATCTGATCCAAATTGCTTGACATGCAGCATAGGATCCTGCTATATATTCAGCTTCACACGACGACAATGCCACCACAGGCTGCTTCTTCGAACACCATGAGATTGGGGCACCAAATACTTGAAAGAAATATTCAGTTGTGCTTCTTTGATCTTCCTTATCTCCACACCAATCAACATCTGAAAAACAATTAACTATTGCTTCTTTGCCTTTAGAATCTCGTCGAAATAGTATTCCACAATTTATTGAACCCTTCAAATATCTCAAGATTCTTCTTGCAACCTTCATATGTGACACTCTTGGTTCACCCATATATCTGCTTACTAATCTGACTGCGAAACCTATATCAGGTCGACTGTTGCACACATACCTCAGAGATCCCACAATTTGCTTGAACAAAGTTGCATTGACTTTGTCTTCCTCTTCATTCTTCTCCAACTTCACATTTGGTTCGATAGGTGAGGATGCAGGATTCGAATCATCCATTCTGAATCTCTCGAGTATCTCTTTGACATACTTTCTTTGATGTAGCACCATACCTTGCTTCGACATTTGAAATTCCATTCCTAGAAAATAAGATAATTTTCCTAGATCCGACATTTTAAATTCCTTCGTCATCATCTCTTTGAACTTCGACAAGTTCTCCAAACTATTTTGAGTTACTAGCAAGTCATCAATATACAAGCAGATGATTGTTATATCTTGTGCTACAACCTAAACATAGACGCCATACTTTGATTTGTATTTGATAAATCCTAATTCGACTAAGTATGAGTCGATCTTCTTGTTCTATACCCTAGGGGCCTGCTTGAGGCCATAGAGTACTTTGTGCAATCTATATACTTTACTCGCTTCCTTCTGAATCACAAATCCAGGAGGTTGTGTGAGATAAACTTCTTCGTCTAAAGGACCATTCAGAAATGCCGATTTCACATCTAGATGAAATGTTGACCAGCCTTGGTTGCATGCCAATGCTACTACTAGTCGAACAATCTCTAATCTTGCTACTGGAGCAAATACTTCAGAGTAGTCAAGTCCTGCTATTTGAAGAAAACCTCGAGCTACTAATCTTGCTTTATGTCTTGCTATCGATCCATCTGCATTTTGTTTCAACTTGAACACCCACTTTACTTCGATAGCTTTTGTATGTGCTGGCAATTCAACTAACTCTCATGTGTTGTTTCTTTCGATTTCCTGTAACTCTTCGACCATAGCTGACTTCCACTTGTTAATATTCAAAGCTTTACTATAGTTGATTGGTTCAACACCTGCAAGTAAAGCAAAATGAACCAATTCTCCATCTGGTGTGGTTTCATCATCATCCACCACTTCATAATCATGAAGTCTTGTTGGAAGAACTCTATTTCTTTGAGGTCTTTGACTTGTTTCAGCCACAACCTCTTCAACTTCGACTGTGACAGGAGTGTCAGCAACTACTTCTTCTTTGACTTCGACTGAATTCTCAACAACTCCTTCGACCTC